CCCCAAAACCCCAAAACCCCAAAACCCCTCATAGCAGTAAATATTGAATAAAATAATAAGAAATGAAACAATAATTAAATAAATGCACAAAATTTTCAAAATAGAAAGAATCGGTACCACCTCAGAGTTCAAGAGGAAGGACAGGCTCGCACTGACAAAGCGTAAAAGAACCAGGCATCTCAAGAAGGCTAAATCTAGCCTATGTGAGGGCACTCGGATGAAATTGATCCGGAAGCAAACTCAGCTACATAATGAAGAAAAAGAGCTATTTCAAAAGAGAGATAGGCCAGCTAAAGATGACCTTAGCTCTTCCTTAGTAGATGGCAAAGCCATTAAAGAAGTCAACGAAGCTGATGCTAAGAAAGTTGAGCTTATTGATACTATCGAGACTAATGAAAGTCTCGTACTTGGTAATCAGCCAGAAGGTACCCCACAAGAAACAAACCCTATGAATTTGATATCAGCAATGGATCAAGGAATTATCCAATCTTTGCAGTTTAATGACTTTGTGTATGAAGACTTACAACGGGTGAAGAAAAATGGCCCAAGAAACTTATTGCCGCCTGCTACAAAGGACACACCAGAATACTGATTAGTTCTCGACCTCGATGAGACACTGGTCCACTGAAGTGTCACTCCATTCGAAGGATATGACGAAGTTCTTAACAATATTTACATTTCATACCGTCCTTTTCTGCTTGAATTTCTTGAAAAGGCCAGCCAATTTTTTGAAGTTGTGATGTTTACCGCTTCAGAATCAGCTTATGCAAACATGGTTGTGGACCGATTTGACCCAGAGCAGAAGTACATCCACCATAGACTCTTCCGGGAGTCCTGACTCAAAGTGTACGGGAACTACATCAAAGACCTTAATGTGCTTGGAAGAGACCTTAACAAGACCATGATAGTTGATAATAGTATGGTTTCCTTCATCCTCAATCTTGACAGCGCGATTCCGATCGAGAGTTATCAAGGCAGTAAACAGGATATCGAGCTGTACAGATTGATGGAGTTAATGGCTAACGCCATTGACTCTCACTCTACAAGTACCAATAAGACATCAGATGAGACTGAGCCCTTGCTAAACCTCAAAGAACATTTCGCTTCCATTTTTAGGATGGAAGACAGGTTCTCCTTTTGGAGACAGCAAATGAACACCAATTTTGAAGGCCTCGGAATTCCATTTTCAAACTAATTTATCCTAATTATAAATTCCTTGGACTTCAAATATCAACCAAAAATGGGTAGTCGGCAAAGAATCTTTTTGAGAGTAAGCCAAATAGTAGCGTATGGGTCTATGGTTGGCTACTTCCAATATTTCAGGTGGAAAATTTTAACACTGGCTTATCTTGACCCTTCTCGGTGTAATTCATCCACTATTTCGTCTTAATTTATACCAGGAATATCCTCAAGGCTATGAATTTCAGCTGGGATATCCTGCTAGAAAATTGTCAAAATCTGGGCAAAGAAATGCGTTGAAACTTGGTTTAATAATTTTTAAGCAATAACTTCACTGAGGATTCAGATTTTCTTAATATTTATGTACCAAAATTTTCTAAATGTAAATATTTACCTAGGATTTTGAAAATCCGGATTACAGGCTGTCCTAAATAGTGCCAGTTGTGATTATATCAATTCTGAGAAGAATGCGGCTCCTTTCTCACACTTCCTTTAGAAGAATTCAGACTTAGGAATTAAATTTAGCTCATACATAGATCAACTTGCTTCTGCAGGATTTTCAAATTATTCATAAATTTTATAACATGAAAGGAAAATTTTGAAAACCGTAAACCTGATTTTTTGTAGCGACGGAGTATTAGCGCCAAGAAATCGATTAATTCTTTCATTATCATGTATTAAGACAAGCAAGGCAGGTAAAAATAGCGGTATTTTTAGGGGGAAATCCATGCTAATTTTCCCGATTTCGATTGGATAACTAATCTAGAGCCATATAGCCTTTAGTTTCAATCGCACAACCATTAAAAGGGGTTTTGGGGTTTTGGGGTTTTGGGG